ACATCCAAACTGGCTAGGCTCCCACAAAGCCAGAACATGAAGTAGGATCAAAACCCAGTGGCATTGTCCTTGGCTTCTCAGCAGCCCTCATTGTCCGCCATATTCAGAGAGTCCGGTTTTATCCCATGGTTTTTCAGTCGTAGTCCAGCTGGCCTTGGTGAGCTCACAATAGATCAGCCCCACTGTCTCCGTGGGTGAATGACATCCAACCATGTGCTGCTGACACAGAAACTGGACAGCTGTATCCCATTGCTCTGATATACTTAGAAGCAAGTTTGGTTATTGATATAATATTCACATTTCAGTTTTAATAAAGACTTTTAAGCTGCTTTTAAGCTTCAAAAAAAAAAAAGAAAAGGGGAAGTTAAAGCAAAAGAAGAGCAAGAATTTTGGAGCAGAGTTCAAAATTAACCCCATACCAGTCATCCCTGGTGCATAAGTTATGTATGAACTCTCCAGCATCTGTTATTTCCCATCGCATCTTTTTGCAGTCATACAGTGCTGAGAGAAAAAAAAAAAAAAACTGTTTTTTTTTTTTTCTCTTTGCCGTTCCTTTCCCCTGGTCTTTTTAGAAAAGAGTAAAACAAAAGCATAAAACAAAACATAAGAAAAGCCATTGGCACTTAACAATGGAAAGCAACAACGCTGCTGCTCACTCCAGCTCTCTCTGTAATGGTGGTAGCAGATCGGACTAAAGCAAGCTGAAGCATCAGCTTAATGGGAAGGAAAACGCTTCACCTTTCTAACATGTGGTCAGAGGTTTGTACGTTCTATTTTGTTCATTCACTCCAATTCTACAAATTCAAATATGACAAAATTAAAAATTCAACATTGCATTGTTAAGCTTTTATAGCTATTATTTCTAAACAGAGACACATAGATTATGTTCCACAAGCACTGTTTGGTGCTCCAAACAGAAGGAATCTTACTTCTTTTTAAAATAAAATATTCCTCTTTCATACACTACATCTCTGCAGCAGCCTCCCACCCTCCACACTTGCCAGCACCCCCCAGCACCCCCCAGTGCGTGTATCCCCTCCATACCTACTGTTCGTCCCTTCCCTTTCATAAAAGAAGAGGCCTCTTGGGGTTATCAACTGAATATGATATAACAAGTTACATCACGACTAGGCATACACCTTCATATCAAGTCTGGGCAAGGCAAGCCATAGAAGGCAAAGGGTCCCAAAAGCAGGTAAAGAGTCAGAGAAACCCAGCTCCCACTATTAGGAGTCCCACAAAGCACCAAGCCAACAACTGTAATATATGATGAGTATCTAGCCTAGGTCCATGTAGGCTCCCCAAGCTGCCATTTCAAACTCTGTGAGCCCCTATAAGCCCTGCTTAGTTGATTCAGTACACCATCGCCATTAGAGGCTCCTTTTGGCAGCTGATAGAGCACATGCTGAAACCCATTAAGCAGAGAGAGATTTCAAATGGAGATTTCCATAGAGTTCCTCCCCTTGGAGCTTGGAACCTCATGGAAAAGGGGGAGGAATAATTGTAGGAATCATATTTCTTAATCAACAATGGATCAAATCAGTAAGCCCAAAGGTACCTGCAATCAGTTGACACTGTGTGGTAGAAACAAGACAAAAGCATTTGAGAAAACACAAACGACAGCATAATAGTACTAGTGTTTATGATAACAGTATGGCGAGCCCATTCTAAAGGTAATTAATAATACACTAAGAGTGGGCAGGTGGTAGAGCATTTGTGTAGCCTTAGCCAAGTTGCCTTGGCTCAATCCCTAGCATCACGTCTTTTTTAATTAAAAGAAAAATAGGAAAAGAAATATTTAAATGGGGGCATATAACTTCTAGTCATGATGTTTTAAACAAAAAAGTAGAATTATAAATCCACCCACATTGAACTAGCCCCAAGGCTATTGGGCTATTTCACAGCCACACAGCAGAAGTTTCTCATAAAATTTTAAAGAAAGAGGAACCGTGAATGGACACAAGATCTCATTCATTTTCCTTTATTATTATTTGTGAATAAATACAATTATAGAGCACGGGACCTGTGATATTGGGAGTATAAGAATCACATCCTACCCAGGCATAGCAATGCAGGCCTCTGACCTAGCATTCAGTAGACCGAGTAAGGGGATATGGAGTTTGAGGTCCCCTAGACATCTAGTGAGATCTCATCTCAGGAAGAAAAAAAAAAGATTTTCTATATTGTTAAATGGAGATAACCGGTTAATATTAGAAGATCTTTAACATCACACTCAAGGAGTCACCAATTATGACACTGACTTTCCAACTTTCTTTTTTTTTTTTTTTTGAGAACTTAGACTAGAGTCAGTTGCATGTCTACCCTCTCTGCAACAGCATGATATATTTAGTTGTACTTCACAGTGCTAACCACTTCCCGCCTTCATTGTTTCCTCATTTTCTGGCTAATCTAATTGTTCATGTAAAAAAAATCCTATTTCTTCTACCTACAAAAATATGAATTATCCACACATTTTGTTTGCACATAAATATGCTTATCGATAATTCTATAATGTGTTATATTACATTATCTATTAGATATTGTCTAATGTGGTACTATCTCTAACTCTTTACCAGGAAACCAGGGAGGAAAGACTAAACTCAGATCCAGGGCTAATTGAAATTGGGGAAAGAATGAGGAATGTCTAAGGACCTGGGGCTTTATTGTCTTATTTACTTTACAATCTCTCTGCCAGGCCTGGTTAGGAAAGTGTGGTGGGCCAAGGAGAAGATTCAGAGGATAAGGGTGCTTGCTCCCACACTTGACCACCTAAGTTGGACTCCCAGGATCCACATGGTGAAAGGAGAGAACTGATTCTTTCAAACTGCCGTCTGACCTCCACGTGTGTACTGTGAAGTGTCATCCACCCATCTCCTCAAAACTTAAATGTTCTTTAGAAAGGAAATATGACTTTAAGATATACTTAAGTAAAATTTCAATATCTTTGAGCTTTGAGTGGCCGGAATTGGTAGTCTAATATACTGATTTCAGACTGTGTCAAAATACATTATTTCTTAATCCTGGGTCAGCATGTGTACCATAGAAGGGTGTGTGCAGTCCTCATCAGAAGCATTGCATGGAAAAATCAATCACAAACTTAGGCATATTCCAGACCTTTGGGGTGGTCACCTACTATCAGTCTCGTGACACATAGATGGATCTAGTCACTTTATCTCTTCTATCTTTAAACATGTATCTACAGTGAAGACTGCAGAAGATTTGCCTAGTATTCAAAGTTCATCATCAGTTAGGGAACTGGACTGGAAAAGCTGAGTTGAATGCTTTAGGGTTCATTGCATCACAAGCTTAACAGAAGACCTAACATTTTATATTCTCTAAGAGTTACTTATATGTTTAAATTTTCAACTGGTCATTAGTTGTAAGAAATAAAATATGACATACAGAGTCTGGAGACAAGGCTCAGGAATTAGCAGAATATACTGCTTTTCCAGAGGATCCAAGTTTGATTCTAAGCACCCATGTCAAGTGGCACACAGCCGGGTGCAATTTCAGATAATGGCATCTAATGCTTTCTTCTGCATTCCACAGATACTGCACTCACATGCACAGATTCACACATACACACACATATAATAATAATAATAATAAATGTATGTTTTGACATAAATATGTGATTTTTCTACTAATATTTGTGTGTTCTGAAATCAAGCAAATGAGTTCTGACTTACATACAGAGTTTGAGAATGCTGGAGTGGGTATATATATATATATATATATATATATGAATATTATGACTACATAGAACTATCAAAACAATGCAAAATGTTGGCAAATACAGAGAAGCTGAGCAGAAATTGGTTTACCGGAGGCTCAAAGTTGTAGGAATATAACATAGAAACTGCTTTTTAAAAAAGAAACCATGGGCTCCTCATTTGAGCCCCAAATCCCACATTTTGCATTTGTCTCCTCTAGATGTTTTACTGTGAGATTTTATAATGTTTCAGACCAGAGAAGGAGCACAAATCTGAATTTATATTGGATTCCAGGAGCAGTACCAATCATAACTACATTTATGACAAAGGACAAATACCCAGAGAACTGTCACAGTACAGATCACACCTCACATTCTGGCAAGCATCATCAAAGGCACATATCAAATGCAAAACACTCTACTGGAGCAGGAGCACACATCTTAGGGAAACCAGAGGACTAGCCTCAGGAACCAAGCACGTCTAAGAGCCAACTTTCTGAGTTAGAGAAGAGATGAGGATCATCTAGTTCCTACCTTGACCAGGACCCCTTCTCCAAAGACAAACTTGGGACCACTGGATTCTTTTGTTTTTTTCTTATTGGAATCCATTGGGTGCATATTTCTCTGACTTAAATTATTCTATTATTTGCCCCTTTAGTTGATAGATTATT